GTGAAGGGAGATGGTGCGGGTCAACGGAAACGAAGCGAAGAGCATCCTTTGTTTCGCATTTGGAGTTATTTTCGTGTTGGCAATTAAATTTTGGTAAAATTCTGTCTCGCCGGCTGCAATTGGTGTAGTTTTTCACGATATTGTATTCAACCAATCAGCAGCCACGTTATCTCAAGTGTAGATGTGACGGTTTGTCATCGTTCATTGTAAACGAATCGTTAACATTGGTGATGCCAAGATTTAGGGATTTTTAGTTAACAGTACCAGCTCTGCAACATCTCTGCAGCTGGGTTGTCAAGTGGCTTGTTAAAATTTCTGGAGGCTCTGTATAAAAGATCCAAAGGAGAAACATGAAAATGAAAAAAGTAAAAATATAAAGGAAAATTGATTTGATTTTATTTACAAAAATGGTTGGACTTGTGTTTTCACTAAACGAAATACACTGTTTTGCTGTTTGGTAATTCAATTTTTCTTGGATGAAATCAGTTTCTTTAAGGGCCAATCGCCCCAACCAAATTTTAAAATCTGTTTTAAAAGGGATGACCAAAGTATTTGAAAATGTAGACGCATTTTCAAGAATAGCAGTTTTTTTTTAATATAAATGATTTAATCCTCATAAAATATATATTTATATATTTTTTCGCTCTAACTTTCCCATTTGTCGCGTCTGACCAAGGTAGATCTGTTTTGAAGTGGGTGTAAGAGGGGGCAAGCAAATTTTTTCTGGATTACCTTGAGCACAACTCACATAATAAAAGTGTAGATCCCTAGATCTGGGCAAGGTCTGGAACATTTTTAAAATTGCAAAAATTGTAAAAATATTTTAAAAAATACCTATTTTATATGAATTTTTTACTTATCTTGAAACCTATACATTTTGGAAGAATATTGAAGAGGTAAAAAAGTTTTAGAATTGAATTTTGCACAATATACCTACTGCAAGTTAAATGTGTTTAAATTTATTACCGATGTTGCAAAATAGCAATAATTAATGAAAAAAAGGGAAAATAATCAAGTGTTTTGGATAATTTTTTTTTAAATATTTTAATTGCTCCCAGGACATTCTAATTTTGGTAAAAAAAACTTTAGAGTGTAATAAAACAACACGCCAAATTTCATTTAAATCGGTTGGATAGTTTTTGCAAAATAATTTTTTGAAATAAATTTTAAAAAAAAATTTTCGTATTTTAAAAATGTTGCACAACCTTAAATAAAGCAACTAGATACTTGAAAACTTTTTCACATAGAAAAGACCGCTCAACCTTTCAAATGGTTTTTGAAAAATTGAAATCCGCTGTTCACTTTTTCTCTTTTTTTTATTTTTAAACAATTAGATTAGACATTTATCAATTTGCAATTTAGTTTTTTCAAAGGTTATAATTTTAAAATACTATTTTTTCTTAATTTTGTCTGTATTTAACAAAAAAATTAATTTCCAAATTAAAAAAAAATATATTTATTTAAACAAAAATTATTTAAATACTTATAATAATAATAATTATAATCAAATATATTCATATACAGTGTTGAAATATATATACTTAAACAAATTTTTTCATTGAAAAAATTCAATAGGTAGGGTAAAATAGACAGTCCTAATCAACTGATTTCAATTTTTCAAAAACCATTTGAAAGGTTGAACGGTCTTTTCTATGTGAAAAAATTTTCAAGTGTCTACATGCTTTATTTGAGGCTGTGCAACATTTTGAAAATTCAAAAAAAACATTTTTCAAAATTTATTTCAAAAAATTATTATGAGAAACCTATCGAACCGATTTTAATGAAATTTGGTGTGTTGTTTTATTATACTCTAAAAATTTTTTTACCAAAATTAGAATGCCCTTGGAGCAATTAAAATATTAAAAAAAAAATTATCCAAAAAACTCGATTATTTTGCCTTTTTTTCATCAATTATTGCTATTTTGCAACATCGGCAATAAATTTAAACATTTTCAACTTACAGTATATTGTGCAAAATTCAATTCTAAAACTCTTTCCTTTCCAATATTCTTCCAAAATGCATAGGTTCCGAGATATAAGTAAAAAAACTCGGATAAAATAGGTATTTTAAAAAATTTTTTAAACATTTTTGCAATTTTGAAAATGTTCCGGATCTCGCCCAGATCTAGGAATCTACANCATTTTTGCAATTTTGAAAATGTTCCGGATCTCGCCCAGATCTAGAGATCTACACTTTTATTATGTGGTATTGCAGCAAAAATTAGCTTGCCCCCTCTTACATCCAAGAAATGGGATATTTCGACAGATCCGCCCTGGTCACTTTGGAAAGGTACTCGAATCGTAACTACGCCACAATTTACAAAATAATTACTATTTCAGTACTTTTAATCCTCTAGTTGGATGTAATCTCAATTCTTTCAGGTTGATTCTCGAAAACGAACCCGTATCGGACGACGTCGACATCGAAGTCTTGGCAAAATCCACCGAAGGCTTCTCCGGTTCGGACTTGAGAGAACTGTGTCGAAACGCTTCAGTATACAGAGTGAGAGATTATCTTCGGACGCACATCGAGAGCCCCCCCGGCAAATCCTCCAAAAACGACTCGGAAGACGAGTTCCACGACACCCTGAGACCGATCACGATGGAGGACTTGAAGTTTTCCTTCAATAAAATGAGAGAAAGCAAAATGCAGTGCGGCTCTCTCCCTCTACAAACTAGAATAGACCTCGACTAACTGTTGTTCAGTCGTTTAGAGCCGTTTGTGGGGGATTTCGACGGGTACGTTAATAGATGCAAAAATTTCGCAGCGAGTTTTAAAAAGTGCGGTACCTGTAGACGATAGTAGTTAATTATAGACGTTGTGGAAGGACGTGGATTGCTGATAAATTTCTGTACGTTTAATAAGTTTGTAATTGAAGATTTCCACATGCTCTTAAAATGAAATATAATTTGTATGATTAACTTTTTTTGTGATAGTATTTTCTTTATTTTGTATTATAACTATTATTGTAAACAATAAAAAAATTCATGTCGGGTTTCACAAAACAGGCAGTAAGGTGTAATTTTTTTTTGGGACCTTTTTGTGTACTGGATGACCGTACCAGTCCGCAAAACAGTCAAAAGAGCGCAACAATCTGAAATTTCCTTTGTTTGAAGTTATTGATGAAAAACAAAATTTTATTTTCGTTTTGTGATCTGAAATTTCTTTTGTATTAAGTTATTAATGAAAAAGAAAATTTTATTTTCGTTTTTATTTTATTTTTTTTAGATTTTCTTTTTTTAATTGGGCTCATTTTTCTGGTTATGACGAAGTATGGATCATTGTTTTGTTTTACCAAATTTTGCATTTTTACAAGAGTGCTTTGGTGTGAAATAAAACATACGAAATTTTGACAATTCAGTAAAACTTTCTTTGACAATGAATAAAAAAAAAACAAAAATTTATAATATCCAAAAAGCAAACATACTGTCTGTCATGTTAGCTATTCGGCCCATCAGCATTTGTTTTTTTTTACACAGAATTTTCACATTTTTTAATTCACCTAATACTTATTTGTTTTAGTTGAAATATGGAGTTATCCATTTTTAAGAAGAGTGCTTTGAAACCAAAACAAATGAAGTCTTGACAGTTCACTTAAATTTTCTTTGACAACGAATTAAAAACAGCAAAAATTTATAATGTCCAAAAGGCAAACGTACTGTCGTATTAGCTATTCAACCTACCAGCATTTGTTTTTTTTTTTGCACAGAATTTTCAAATTTTTTAATTCACCAAATACTTATTTGTTTTAGTTGAAATATGGAGTTATCCATTTTTACGAACAGTGCTTTGAAACCAAAACAAATGAAGTCTTGACAGTTCACTTAAATTTTCTTTAGATTGTTGCGATCTGAAATTTCTTTTGTGTGAAGTTATTAATGAAAAAGAAAATTTTATTTTCGTTTTTATTTTATTTTTTTTAGATTTTTTTTTATTAGGCTCATTTTTCTGGTTATGACGAAGTATGGATCATTGTTTTGTTTTCATGGAAACACCAAATTTTGGATTTTTACAAGAGAGCTTTGGTGTGAAAATAAAACATACGAAATTTTGACAGTTCAGTAAAACTTTCTTTGACAATGAATAAAAAAAAANTCCTAGCAACCGCCTAACAACGGTCAATACAAACAGTATTGTATTGACCGTTGCTAGGAAAACTGTGCGATTTTTTTACCGTACGTAATAGGAATCTTACATTGATCGCAGACGGTGTGTTTTTAAGTATTTACAGTAGTGGTCGTAGGTAAAATTATTTACGACCTAGTGGACCAGTACAGGTTTGCTTTGATCAGGTAGACTAGTTTACCAATACCGGACTCGCCAAATTGCTATTCGAGTTTAAATTACGAAACACATCATGGTCAAAGCATAATTTCAGGAGAAGTGCATACGGTCCTGTGCTTTAAAATTTACAGGTTCCAATCGACATCGTAACAACTATACACATTTTACAGATGAAAACTCGTATTGTTTAATGGTTTTTATACATGTCTATTTTGTTTTATATAAAAAAATATATACAAAACAATAGTAAAATTGTTTTTCAGCACATGAAAATTTATATTTAATAAATCATATTATCATGAAGATTTTCGTTTATAAATCACATTTTTTTTTCAAGTTGTAATCATAAGTTTCGATTAAAATATTTCCAACTTTTTGGATCTTTAAAAGCTATTTTTAATTTAATGTGTACCGTTTTCTAATTAACTTTGTACATATTTAAATTTTCCGAGTATTTAATTATGTATTTATAACCAGCACCTGTGTTGCCTTATTTTGTTTTGACTAACGCTTATATTTTAATTAAAACACCCTCCCTTGTACCCACACTTTACGTAATAAATTTTTTATTTTTGACTATTTGTTTTGCTTTAATCCTCGCTTGGACTAAACTGCGCTTGGGTGTTGAGAATGAACGCTTTCTAATGGCTTCTAAGTGTACGTTCCAATAATTGCAGACTAAAGAAACCGTCTCGACGGTCGGCGGTCGTCAGGTTCTTGTAAACGGGCAGCAGTCCCAGACTTCCGCCCTCCTCCAAGCCATGAAGGCCAACATGGAGGCCGGCCAGCCGACGTCTGTCGTCCAAGGTCAGCCGCAGACGCAGGTCGCCACCGCAACTGGGGAGGCAAACAAGCAGTTTGTCGTCACACCCGACTATATTCAGCAAAGTATGTTCATTTATCAGCCATCCGTAATTGTGTACAATCCTAACTGTGCGTACCCATTGCAAAACGATCTCGCCACACGTTTTTATAAATAGATAAGCTTCAGTTATTTAGAAGAGCAAGGGTTCCTACAAATTCAAAAGTTTCTAAACTTGCAAAAGTATTTCTTTCTGTGATATTTTCTTTTTGTTGGAAAAGTTCTGTTTCGAAAAGAAGACTGATTTTTTTATTTTTTTTTATGTTTTTTCCGCTATTAAGTGTAAAAGTATTTTACTGTGATTTTAATTTTTATTCTCTCACTGGTCTAGAAGAAGCAGAGGAAAGCATTGCGACATAACCACGTAATCATGAGATTTTCTCTGCTTTTTTCACGGCCTGTGTTTGGAAACTTTTGTCCGTATTACTTTAAATAAATAAAATTAGTTACAGATTAACTAATGTAACATGTAACTGGACTGTATCCGAAATTGTGTAATAAAACTGTTAAACAAATCTCATGGACTTTTCTTGTGACAAAACCCTTGCACTTCTTCACGTTTATTTTTTTATTAGTCGTTTTGCTTTGGGACTGTTCACCGTTTGCTTTAATTTTTTCTATAATTTTCACCCTCTTTGTATATTTTTCTTTAATATCTCTGCAGCCATCAAATCCGCCTTAAAACAAGAGAACCTCAATCCCGAAATCGAGGAAAAACTGTTGCAGCTGCAGAGGTACCAAGAAAAACAAATGAAACAGGAGCCCGAATTGCCCACGCCAGTCCCAAAAGTAAATCAGACGGTTGTCCCTAATTCCCGGTTCCCCACTGCTACCCGCAAAAGACCGCCCAGTGCTTCCAAGAACGATGATAGTGATTGGGTGATGGAAACCCCCAAAAGGAGCCGCCCCAACAGATCCTCCGACGGGAAAAAAATCGAAACCGAATCACAGTAAGTATCAGTACGACAAATGGATATTTCCACTTAGGACGACTACATCCGTTTCGTTTTTAGTCAAGAACCAGTTAAAGAAAAGATTGTGTCGCCTAGAGCTAGAATCAAAATAAAAGAAGTTTCTGAAGCGGAAAGAAAAGTTACTATTAAAACGAAAATAATGGTTAGTTTGTTTAGACAGAAGGAGCTACTGAAGAAAGATATATTAAGGAAAAGGGCATTATTGGAAAAAGAACTGCAATATGAAATCCAGGTAATTAAAAAATATATCAATTATTGTTTATTAATATTAGTTTATTATTTATTTTTTATTTTAGTTTGTTCATTAATTTTTTTTTTATATAATTTGTTTGAAAATGAGTAAAGTACAATACAATTTTTAGAAATTCAATAAAAATTTACTGTAGACACCATTACTAGCACAGTTATAAGGTAAATATTTACCTGCTGATGGTTATAAAAAGTTTCTATACCGCTCAGAAGTATATGTTTTATCTCTTTCATTAAAAAAAAAAAACTATCGCCAGTCACGGCATAATACCAAATATATAGGATCAGAAAGTCCCCATGGTTCATCGGCCGTTACGTGAGAGCGATAAAGAAAGTAATAGAAATCCGTGCGACAGAAAGATGGCTATAATGAAGGCGTCTAATAGTCACCGCCCACTTGGCCCTTCCACAAATAAGATCCACTTCTTACTTGTGGAAGGGCGAAATGGGTGGTGACTATTAGATGCCTTTATTATAGCCATCTTTCCCTATCGCATGGATTTCTATGATTTACTTTATCGCTCTCACGTAACGGCCGATGAACCATGGGGATTTTCCGACCCTGTATTACAGTCTGTGCGACATTTGTTAAGATAGAATTTCAAGAACATTCCTACATCTTTTTATTGAAATTAATCACATTCGACACCCGAGGTAGAAAGACATTGGCGGAAAATTTCAAGGCACGTCCCTGCCGTGGTAAATTGTTACAGTAGTTCCAATAACAGAACTTTATTGGCTTATTCATTTCTTGGAATTCTATCTCATCAAATATTCTACGGACTGTACAAAACTAATGGAACCAATTCAATTTATTGCTGTTATTATTATCTTTGGACATTTCCACCTTAGTCTGTGTGAATATTCTTAAATTCCTTAGGTTAAACTGTAAGAATTACAATTATTGTTAAAGATGGTTTTTAATTTAGGTTTTCATATAATGGGGGTTTCCCCGTTAAATAAATAAATACAATGCAATGTTGCAGGCAGATATGTAGACAATGTATCCTAATATCATTAAAATAGAGGATACAGACGCTCATTTTGACTTTTAAAAACACACTTCATGAGAGTTTTTTTTTTCAAATTGTAAAAAACGATTTTTTTGGACAGGCTGGTGTAACCTCAAACTTCCCTGTAAACTTATCACGCATCGGTATGCATTGTTGTCAGATCTCATCTTTCTTCATTCGTGTACATATTTTGTTATAATACCACACACAAATTTTAACAATGAAGACACGAAACGAAAACAGGATTTAAATTTCATCGTAAAATTGAACTTAATAGAACACAACATTGCACTATACAAATTATATTTCAATTCTAGTAAAGGCTGTTTGACACAATAGCATTTCTTTTTTAAAATCTTCTAAGTAATCTGAGCAAATTTTTTTTATGTAGAAATATGTTCATGACAAACACGAAATATATGAAATTCTATTCAGATTTATGTATAAATAAATGTTTACAGAAATTTTAGAACTTGTTCTAATTTTCTTTATAAAAATGCGCGTAAATCTGCGCAGAACAAAGTTATTTGTTATGTCTGCATTGCCACCTGTCAGTTCAAATTACAGGTTATGTTGATTTAATCTGTGTTTAAAGTAATTAATTAACATTTACGCCTTCCCGTGTCTAGAACGATGTCCTAGACGAGAGGGCAAATAAGAATATTATTTTTTTAAAAGTTTTTTACTTCTTTGTTCTTTTAAGCGTAATCATTATAATTAAAATAATGCTGGTCACAATGACTTTTTGAATAGTTCCTGCATCCATTTTGTACAGTTGTTTTAAAACCAGATAAAAAAATAAGATCTACGGTAACACCAACTGCGTATGTGCTGTGATATTATATTTTTATATAAAAATAGACCATAGTGGCAAGCAGATGAAAGATTTTAATACATTATTTTTTCTACAATATTTTCACAAATATTTTTACGAAGATTATTATACAGGTTCGGAAAGTCCCCATGGTTCATCGGCAGTTACGTGAGAGCGATAAAGTAAGTCGTAGTCGTAGTTAATGTCGACATTGAAAGTCGATTCTTTTGAATCTGTGGTCTGCTCTACCTTCTACCTCGCCATTTCCACAAAAGAGTACCTTCTGCAATGACAAAAGATTTAATGGCTGAAGTATTTTCACGAAAAGAGAAGAACAAAGAACGGGCTGACATTGACATTTTTAAATCTATCATCTCTACAAAATAATTCGTCCACTGACGAATGTCTATGATCCACACACTATTTCGAAGCCAAAATGAAGGGGATTTTTTTTATTTTTTTACATTTTTCACTCAAAATATTTTTTACGTTTCATTCATCGTATAATTCATGAATCATTACCCTTGTGAGTGCACCCCCCCCCTTTAAGGTTCACGCCCCTGGCAGCCACCCCCGGCTGGCCCCTTGCTACGCCACTGTACGTTTATATTATAAACTATGTTCTTAATTCTTTTTATTTACAATTAAAGATCATACCTTAAAAAATATTTGATTTTCGTGTAATAGCAATAGTTTTTTAAACATTTTTTATATTTCAAAAACATGAACTAAATTGATATCGCATATCCAAAAAAGTCACAATATCTCGTAAACGAGGCCCCTAATAAAAATCTTACAAGACTGACAAAAATAGAATAAAACCGCTTTATCTAAAAAAATATTCTGAAAGCATAGACGTACTCAAAAAAAATGGGGGG